ACTTAAACTCTTAACTGCAGCTTAAAGTGATTGAACACTTTAACTCTTAACTGCAGCTTAAGTAACACTTTAACTCTTAACTGCAGCTTAAGTAACACTTTAACTCTTAACTGCAGCTTAAGTAACACTTTAACTCTTAACTGCAGCTTAAGTAACACTTTAACTCTTAACTGCAGCTTAAGTAACACTTTAACTCTTAACTGCAGCTTAAGTAACACTTTAACTCTTAACTGCAGCTTAAGTAACACTTTAACTCTTAACTGCAGCTTAAGTAACGCTGAACAAACAAAAGAATTATTTACTTTTAAAAAGTTAAAAATTGCACCAAGAGTGAGTTTGTTCAATGAAATATGAATAATAAAGGGCAAAAAATTACAAAACAAAGAAAGGATAACACTGACAGCAATGCAGGAACACAACACATCAATATATGCACAATACTATGAGAATTGTCTTGCAATGAGGCTTGGGGTGACAAAATTGGAAAATAATTGTCTTGCTTCAAACAAAATAATGGCACTATTGTCTGTGGAGATAAGAAATATTAGACACTGGCTAAATGAAAAGAATTAACACAAGAATGTTCAACACAGAAAAAAATGGCAAATGAATGAATAAAATAAAAAAAAAATCAGTAAGGACAAATGCTGAAAAAAAAAAAATAACTGAGACAACACTGAGTTGTGATGCAGAATATAAGGTAACAAGTTACTGAATTACTTCACTGCATAAATTACTAGGCAAGGAACACAGTACTGTGAACACAAGATAATTGTCAAGTGTAAACACAAGTTTATACTGCTTATATATTGCACACAACAAGGAAAAGTGGAAAAGTACTTACTGCACGTGTACATAAAAAAAATGAACACAACAGACATGAAAATAAAGCACAAAAATTTAAACACTGAAGAAAGAAGAAAAAAAAATGTTGCAAACAGAATGTAATAAACACAGTCTAATCAGGAGTCACTGAAAGTCACAAAAAATCAATTAAAAAATTGTCTCAACAATCGCAAATGTAAATAACAAAAAGGCACAATACCGTGACTGGAACGATACACAAATAACCTGCACTTTGTCAATGTGACTTTGTCAATGGTCCAAGTCGGACCGAAACGTCGTCGTAAGCTTCTCTCTTTTATGTGCGGGTTATTTGTGAATCGCAAATGTCTCTATAAAAATATTATCACTGTAGCGACATTGGTGGAGAATGAGAGTAGTGATGGGAGGTGGAGGAAGGTTGGTAGTAGTATTTTTTGCACTTAAATCAACGATACACTCACACAGGAGGCTTTTACGTAGGCGCACAGGGTCGAAGGAACAAACTTGCTTCTTGACCTCCTATGTGGTCCGTAAAATAAAGTGCTAGGACCCGATACAAGGCTACAAAAAACAGAGGTGGGTGTGGGCGAGTGAGGCAGCGCGGTGGAACACTGCTTGGTGACTGGGCCTCCGGGATGGGATAAGCGGCGTAAGCCCACGTGACACCCACACTGGGCACAAAAAAATATTCTAAGCCAGGCTGGCTTAAAAAAAAGCACACAAAATACCACGACACCACAGGGATGGTAAAGCATTCAGAACAGCTTGAACTGGAAGCACAAAGCGATGGTGAAGGCTGGAACTCAAGTGGCTTGCTTGAGTACTGGGTTAAGTCACCTGGGTTAGTTGCTGGCTTGCTTGGCTTAACCCTTCAAACAGACTGGCTTGAGAACTTGTAACAATGAGCACAGCAGGGGCGGAAAGCTGGCTTAGCAGGCAAGGCTGGTACTGGCTGGTACTTAAGACAGGTTGGATGGTGCAGGACTGACTCCCCCTCCCCCCACAGACTGGCTTGGTGGCTTGGCTTAATTTGCAAACCCGGGTCAACCCCTCGGAAGTAATGCAAATAAGCAAATAAAACACTAATACACAGAGACTGACCAATAAGCAGAAGTAAACAGGCTGGTGGACGCTTGACTGAGATGTGAAGCATGACTCATCTCGGCAGGCCTAGCGTTCAGAAAATGGCGACCAGCTCAGTAGAAATTTATCTCCAGAAATTGCTGTAATCGTCAGAATTACAATCCTACCGCTGTCACCATTTGTGGAAAGGGGTTCGTGGAGATGTGATGGTTGGAGTTAAACACACTTGTTGGATGGTAACACTATATTGCAGTGTGTGAGAAGGGAGAGCCCCAACTGCCTGTCCTGACGCCTGCTTGGATTACGGGGAACTGAGGCCGATGCAGCGCATCCCATGCACTCGTGCAGCCTCACGTGATGTCACACAAACTAGTCACTGGGCCTAGCAAGGGGTCGTGTATGTAAAACATATGGATGGTACTAACCATGATACTCAGGCAACATATACACAGGGGATCAACATCTATGCTGACAGATATGAATTATGCTAAGGTCATATCAGCCTGCCAAGAAGGGCCAAGGAGTGAAAGGGGAGAGCAGCTGGGTGCAGATAGAGAGGGTGATAGGTCAAATGCAGAGGCACAACCATGCTACCAAGAGCCACTGGAAAGAAAAAGGGAGAAAATGACCATGTACAGATAAGAACCAAAGTCACAGAGGGAGAGGCAATGGGAGGAGGAAAGGGCAAAATCAGTGTTTATCCATGAGCTTCAGGAGAGAGAGGAAAGGACACACATTGACAGACGGCAGGCATAAAGAAAGGAGATTGAGAACACCATCACGGAAATAGGTGAAGAAGACATGGACGAGATTGTAAATTTTCAGAGAATAGGGGGGTACTTGAAGGGGAGAAAACGACCGATCAAGCTGGTTCTCAGGACAGAAACAGTGCGGAACAGGGTCCTCCAAGAGAAACCATGGTTGAAATACTTGGAAGAGTACAAGAGGGTGTTCCTAGACAGAGACAGAATGACAAAAAAGCAAAAGGAGCTAGGAAAGGAGACAAGGATGGAACCAGCAGAGGTCAATCAGAGCAGGACAGAGCAGCAAGGGCAAGCACACACAGAACTATCCTCAGAACCCCACAACCAATCACACCATCCCAACACAAACTACAATCCATACTCACAGCTTCCACCCAACACCGAGCTATAGATTCCTACAGTATGCTACCAGGTCTACCACCCTCACAGGCCCCCCAAACCACAGTGTTGGAAAGGAAACTGAAGGTATGGTACACAAACGCTGATGGAATAACAAATAAGTGGGAGGAGTGGCACGAAAGAGTCAAAGAGGCATCACTGGACATCATAGCTCCCACAGAAACCAAGCTTACAGGTATGATAACAGATGCCATCTTTCCAATGGGATACCAGATCCTGAGGAAAGACAGAGGGAACAGGGGGGGTGGAGGAGTGGCATTGCTGATCAAAAACCGATGGAATTTTGATGAGCTGGAGAGAGGAGACAGCGGAGAAGCAAGCGATTACATAGCGGGAGCGCTTCATTCTGGAGGTCCCAAGGTGGTAATTGCAATGATGTATAACCCACCACAGAACAGCAGGAGGCCAAGGCAAGAGTATGATGAGAGCAATAGAACGATGGTTGACACACTGGCTGCAGTGGCCAGAAGAGCTCATGCATGCTCATGTATACATGAGCATGCATGCGCTCATTCTACTTGTGAATTTAACCCTTAAACTGTCCAAACGTAGATCTACGTTTGAAAAGTTTAAGGGTTAGTCCGTTCTGTGACCTTGCTTACATCTGGATTTGCTTGTTTGCAGAGTTAATTTTCCTCATTTAAATTAATTGAAATTGAATTAATTCATTGTAGTAGAATTCCAGGCACCTTTAAATACTTCAATAATTTCCTTAATATCAACTCTATAGCTTATTTATCTATCAAAATTCATGTAATATGGGATAATAAACAATATTAATAACATAGAAACATAAATAAAATAGGTATTGGTGGTGATGGTGGATGGTGCCTTCTTCAGAGATTAAGGAGATTTGTACAATGTGGAATAGGGTGCAGGCATTTGCTGAAAACTACCACCCAGAGCAAGGTGAACAAGCCATCTCTGCAACAAGTTCAGTGACAGTACCATGTCCCATTGTAGGGAAATCTTAAAAAAGGGAAGTAACCCCAGATAAGAACTTGTTATCTAAAGTCTTTATGGAAAGGGATTCCCGTTGCAAACAGTAAGTGCTCCGTCACTCCTCGTCACTATCTTCCAGACGCCATCAACAATCTTCAATAAAGGTAAGTAAAAAATGTTATTTTATATGTTTATTTAAATGTTTATTTATATATTACTAATTGTACTATGTATGTTTGTTGTGTGTATCTAAAACTATAATTAATCTCTATAAAATGCATTTTTTTTGTAAATATTTTTGTGTTTCTGGAACGGATTAATTGTATTTACATTATTTCTTATGGGAAATATGGCTTCGAGTTTTGAACGTTCGACTTTAGAACTAGCTCCTGGAACAGATTAAGTTCAAAACTCAGGGTTCCACTGTAGTACAATAATGTATTACAATAATGTATTACAATAATGTATTACAATAATGTATTACAATAATGTATTACAATAATGTATTACAATAATGTATTACAATAATGTATTACAATAATGCAGTAGTCTGTATAACAGTAAATCTTCTATTTTTTGTGTGAATAAGAATATTTGCATTTGTAACATTTGTAACACTTTCATAACATTTTTGTAACATGTTTATTAATGCATTTGTAACAAGTATTTGTGTTCTGTAATGGGTTCATAATGCATTTGTAACAAGTACAGTGGACCCCCGGTTAATGATATTTTTTCATTCCAGAAGTATGTTCAGGTGCCAGTACTGACTGAATTTGTTCCCATAAGAAATATTGTGAAGTAGATTAGTCCATTTCAGACCCCTAAACATACACGTACAAACGCACTTACATAAATACACTTACATAATTGGTCGCATTCGGAGGTGATCGTTATGCGGGGGTCCACTGTATTTGTGTTCTGTAATGGGTTCATAATGCATTTGTAACAAGTATTCGTGTTTGTAACGTGTTCATAAGGCACCTTTAACAAGTATTGTCCATGTCTTGGCAGGAATCAACGTACACGCCGCAGGTTGAAGCCATCTCCCCAACCCTTCCGTCGGACCCCAGAGATGAGTCTCCGCTCAGGTCAACCAAAGATGATCTACTCAAACATATAGAACAAGTAGACCGTGAGATTGCTAAGGTAAGATCACTTGTAGACGATGAGGCTAAAGTTAGACCACATTTGTAGAGAGTGGAGCTAAAGTTAGACCACACTTGTGGATGGTGAGGTTTAAATTAGACGACAGTTGTAGACTGCAATAAATGCCATTGTTATGAAGAAGGTAGATGTCATAGCTGTAACTGAAACAAAACTGACGGTCAGGGAGTTTCAGTGAGAAGAAATAAATAGGACTAACTCATGGGTGTCTAATAGAGTTAATCCTTTCAGGGTCCGTGCCGTAGATGTACGGCTTTACATTGAGGGTCCAAACCGTAGATCTATGCCATGAGCTCAGCTCACTCTGATTAGCTATGAGCGGTAAATTTGGGCCTAGATATGAGAGAATACATCTATGTGGTATGTGTGCACCACATAAAACAAATCCTAATCTTTCTTCTTTCAACATACCAGCCGTATCCCACCGAGGCAGGGTGGCTCAAAAGAAAAAACTAAAGTTTCTCTTTTTAAATTTAGTAATATATACAGGAGAAGGGGTTACTAGCCCCTTGCTCCCGGCATTTTAGTCGCCTCTTACAACACGCATGGCTTACGGAGGAAGAATTCTGTTCCACTTCCCCATGGAGGTAAGAGGAAATAAACAAGAACAAGAACTAGAAAGAAAATAGAAGAAAACCCAGAGGGGTGTGTGTGTGTATATATATGCTTGTACATGTATGTGTAGTGTGACCTAAATGCAAGTAGAAGTAGCAAGACATACCTGAAATCTTGCATGTTTATGAGACAGACAAAAGACACCAGCAATCCTACCATCATGTAAAACAATTACAGGCTTTCGTTGTACACTCACTTGGCAGGACGGTAGTACCTCCCTGGGTGGTTGCTGTTTACCAACCTACTACCTAGAACAAATCCTAATGTTCTTATGAAAAAAAAAACTGAGACATTAATTTTCGATTAAAACAGAAACTTTGCAGTGTTTTTTCGTATATTTTTTATAGTTGTATTTGCGATTTCTTGGTCTCATTTGATAGAATGGAAACTATTTTATAGAAACAGAGGTGATTTTGATTAATTTTACTATAAAAAGAACCTGGAAATGGAGCTCAAAGTACAGGAAATGTTTGGTTTTTGCCGATGTTCAAAAGTAAACAAATGATGTCATTGTCCAATAAATGTCCAAATAGCCATTCTAATATGCAGTCATGAATGGGTTGATGTAATTTTTACAATTATTACAGTATTGCAGTAGTCTGCATAACAGTAAATCTTCTATTTTTTGTTTGAATAAAATTTCAAAATAAAAAGCAAGAGTAATATCACAGGGACCTGGAGACATGACTGATGAACAAAGAAAATGTTATTTTAGAGCCAGGAATGTCTGCATTGTTCATTCTGGACCTTATTTTGAAATTGTCGTTTTTTTTAATTTTCGTGAAATTGGCCAAATTGCAAATTTCTGACCATGTTATTGGGTAGTTGAAATCGGTAAATGGGCAGTTTCTTGTACTCAATCGATAGAAAAAATAGTTCTGAAGAAATAGTTATGAGTTTGGTTGACTGGAATAACGGAATTAGCCGAAAATAGGGCTCAAAGTGGGCGAAATTGCCGATTTTTAAATATCGCCGAAGTTGCTAACTTCGCGAGAGCGTAATTCCGTCAGTTTTCCATCAAATTTCGTTTTTTTTGGTGTCTTTACAATCGGGAAAAGATTCTCTATCATTTCATAAGAAAAAATAATTTTTTTTTTTTTTTAAATTTTGCGACACCAGGAGACACCTCAGGATTTGGGGTTGCGACAGTCAAAGGGTTAAGCATCCCAGAGCGATAAAATGTATATACAGTTCACTCATTACTTACCTTAAAATATTTGTAGTCTTAATGTAGGGTTAGGAGTAAGTAAATGAGATAAAACGAATAAATGAGAGAGAGAAAGAATGAGTGCATGAGAGAGGACAGGTGCAGAGTTATGTAAACAAGCCAGGCGAAGGTAAGTTTTGTAAACGAAGTGTACACGTCTGGTTTGTGTACAAGTTACATTGTGTACAGGTTGTCTCTACATTGATACGGTAGAATAAATAAAGAAGAACACTCCCATTCTCATGTAACATCATTTTGAGAAGAAATGATGCTCAGAGTGAAGGCAATGGAAGTAAGTCACTCTGACTTTTTTGGGTTATCCTAGGTTCTCTACACATATGTTGTTATGTATGTTAATCTATGTAACTGTATTTGTGTATACCTGAATAAACTTACTTACATACATACGAAAGGAATAATTTTCTACAGTTACCCCCAGTAACACATTTTCTCTTATGTTAGATTAGAGAAAATGTTATTCTTGGCATCACTTGTACAAGTTATCTGGCTACCACATCTCATATTTATGTTTATTTATTCTATTGTAGGGTGTATTTATCATCATTTTATGTTATGTATCGTGTTTATTATATAATTTTGAAAAAAATATCATGGATGGATTAATGAAAATGTGTATATTAACGTAATATACAACATTTAATGAGACTCGGTGATTATTATTATTATTATTAGCATTTTTAATATGGCGTCACTTGTGCAAGTCGTCTGCTACCACATCTCATATTTATGTTTATTTATTCTATTGTGGGGTGTATTTATCATCTTTTTATGTTATGTATTGTGTTTATTATATAATTTTGAAAAAATATCATAGATGGATTAATGAAAATGTGTATTTAACGTAATATACGACATTTAAATGAGACTCGATGATTATTATTATCATTACTAATATGACGTCTGGAGACATAAGACACTCTTACTGATTTTAATGTGTACCTGCATGCCAGCACAGTATGTAAGTTTATTTAAGTACAGGTATACATAAGTATAATTATCAGAGTACAGTGGACCCCCGGTTAACGATATTTTTTCACTCCAGAAGTATGTTCAGGTGCCAGTACTGACCGAATTTGTTCCCATAAGAAATATTGTGAAGTAGATTAGTCCATTTCAGACCCCCAAACATACACGTACAAACGCACTTACATAAATACACTTACATAATTGGTCACATTCGGAGGTAATCGTTATGCGGGGGTCCACTGTATATATAAAATATGAAATAACATTTAAAAACATTTGAAATTTTGGAGTTTCCAGACAAAATGGAGAGACTTAGTGCTTACTGAGCTCACGAAGAATGTAAACAAACAAGGTGGGGCGCGGTGACCGTATTAGAAAGTCAGGTGGGGGGAGCCGTATAGCGAGTTTTGGTCATAATTTGAAATGACCGTATTAGTGGAACGCCGTAAAGTGAAACGCTGTAAAGCGGGGCCCTGCTGTATATTATATATATATATATATATATATATATTATATATATATATATATATATATATATATATTATATATATATATACACACACACCTACCATCCGACTTACGACCGAGTTCGGTTCCGAGAAACCGGCCGTAAGTCGAAATGGTCGTAAGTCGAACTTTACTACTGAATATCAACAAAACATTTTTGTAATGACTTTATTTTATTGTTTTATTTTGGTATTTCATGTTTTACTTTACTTTTTATGCTGTTAGTACTGTATTTTATACTGTAAGGTTTAGGATAAACACTGTGTACAACACAAATACTTGTTTATTTCCCAGAAATTTGGCATAAAAAACACGGTCGTAAGTCGAGCAGGTCTGATGGTAGTTATATATATATATATAATATATATATATATATAGTGTAGTGGAAGGAAGGTGGGTTAGGGTCGTTACTAGAAGGGTTGGTAGGGAGGGGGTAAAGGAGGTTTATATGCGAGTGTGCTTTGGAACTTCCACAGCATGTGTGAGCGTGTTGAATAGGAGTGAATGGAGACAAAGGTTTTAGATACTTGGACGTGCTGTTGGAGTGTGAGCAAAGTAACATTTATGAAGGGATTCAGGGAAACCGGCAGGCCGGACTTGAGTCTGGAGATGGGAAGTACAGTGCCTGCACTCTGAAGGAGGGTATGTTAATGTATGCAGTTTAAAAATTTGTAGTGTAAGCACCCTTCTGGCAAGACAGTGATGGAGTGAATGATGGTGAAAGTTTTCTTTTTCGGGCCACCCTGCCTGGTGAATCGGCCGGTGTGATAATAAAATAAAAAATATATATATATATATATATAAAATATATATATATATATATATATATATATATATATATATATATATAATATATATTATATATATTATATATTATTATATATATTTTATATATATATAATTACACACACACACACACACATATGTTGCACGCTGATACTAACAAGGTTGCAATGACTGCAGGCAGAGTCGAGCATTGCAAAGCTTCGGAAGAAGGAGGGAGAGTTGCAGGCGGCAGCGCAGAAGGGTGATGGCGCCAAGACGGAGGAAGAGGATGTCAAGGAGCCCCGGCACCACAGTATTGCTCAGATTATATATGCTGAGAACAGGGTGAGTAGTGGTCATTGTAGTGATGGTGGTAGTGGTCATAGTAATGGTGGTGGTGGTAGTAATGGTGGTGGTGGTAGTAATGGTGGTGGTGGTAGTGATCATAGTAGTGGTGGTGGTAGTTGTAGTGGTGGTAGTGGTGGTTGTTGTAGTAATGGTAGTGGTGGTGGTCATAGTAATGGTAGTGGCGGTGGTCGTAGCAATGGTAATGGTGGTGGTAGTAAGGGTAGTGGTGGTGGTCGTAGTAATGGTAGTGGCGGTGGTTGTAGTAATGGTAGTGGCGGTGGTCGTAGCAATGATAATGGTGGTGGTAGTAATGGTAGTGGTGGTGGTCGTAGCAATGGTAGTGGTGGTGGTAGTAATGGTAGTGGTGGTGGTCGTAGTAATGGTATGGTGGTGGTCGTAGTAATGGTAGTGGGTGGTGGTCGTAGTAATGGTAGTGGCGGTGGTCGTAGCAATGGTAATGGTGGTGGTAGTAATGGTAGTGGTGGTGGTCGTAGTAATGGTAGTGGCGGTGGTCGTAGCAATGGTAGTGGTGGTGGTAGTAATGGTATGTGTGTGGTTCGTAGTATGGTAGTGGCGGTGGTCGTAGCAATGGTAGTGGTGGTGGTAGTAATGGTAGTGGTGGTGGGCGTAGTAATGGTAGTGGCGGTGGTCGTAGCAATGGTAGTGGTGGTGGTAGTGATCATAGTAGTGGTGGTGGTAGTTGTAGTGGTGGTAGTGGTGGTTGTCGTAGTAATGGTAGTGGTGGTGGTCATAGTAATGGTAGTGGTGGTGGTCGTAGTAATGGTAGTGGCGGTGGTCGTAGTAATGGTAGTGGCGGTGGTCGTAGTAATGGTAGTGGTGGTGGTAGTAATGGTAGTGGTTGTAGTAGTTTTAGTGGTGGTGGTAGTAATGGTAGTGGTGGTCATAGTAATGGTTGTGGCGGTGGTCGTAGCAATGGTAGTGGTGGTGGTAGTAATGGTAGTGGTGGTGGTTGTAGTAATGGTAGTGGTGGTGGTCGTAGTAATGGTAGTGGTGGTGGTAGTAATGGTAGTGGCGGTGGTCGTAGTAATGGTAGTGGCGGTGGTCGTAGCAATGGTAGTGGTGGTGGTAGTAATGGTAGTGGTGGTGGTAGTAATGGTAGTGGTGGTGGTGGTAGTAATGGTAGTGGTGGTGGTCGTAGTAATGGTAGTGGTGGTGGTCGTAGCAATGGTAGTGGTGGTGGTAGTAATGGTAGTGGCGGTGGTCGTAGCAATGGTAGTGGTGGTGGTAGTAATGGTAGTGGTGGTGGTAGTAATGGTAGTGGTGGTGGTAGTAATGGTAGTGGTGGTGGTGGTAGTAATGGTAGTGGTGGTGGTGGTAGTAATGGTAGTGGTGGTGGTGGTAATAATGGTAGTGGTGGTGGTCGTAGCAATGGTAGTGGTGGTGGTAGTAATGGTAGTGGTGGTGGTAGTAATGGTAGTGGTGGTGGTAATTATGATAATAGTAACAATAATAATAAATTTTAATAGTAATAATATAGTGATAATAGTAATAATAATGATAATTATTATTATAATAATAATATTGTGTATGAAGCATGTTAGTGTCAGCCTCATCAGAGTGACTGAGTGATAGTCATGACTCATGAGATCTCAATGACACGTTGCGAACAAGGCATACCACAGGCCAGGGTTGAACCCGTGCTAGAGAGTTGTTAAACTCCAGACTGATGTGTTAGTCATTGTGTCGTCTTCTCTGTGTGGCACTGCCAGTGGTGGTGTGTGTCAGGTGCCGTCATCAACTTACCTGGCTAGGTTTCTCTCGTGTGGCAGTTGGGATGATGCATCGGCTCATCTGCCGAATTGTGATCTAGGAAAAACCATGTTTTTTTTACTCTAAAGACCAGAAAAAATACCATTTTCTGACTTAAAACCTAAGAAACCTTTGTTTTCTGTCTCTAAAAACAAGAAAAACTAACATTTTGACTTAAGACAAAAAACCAATGTTTTTGGTCTGTAAAAACCAGAAAAACCATCATTTTCTGTCTTAAGACCAGAAAACCCCATTGTTGTATAGAATAGAGAGTGTGTATGGGGGTTCTGACTGGTTAAGTTAGTGATCCATGCCCAGTCATTGATGGTCCCCAGACTAGGAACCTGCCATGTCATTCCTGGTTACCTGAACTACTCTTACGTACATCTTTCACACGAGGGCAGTTGTGCCGAGATAGTTGCACTGTAGGTCTCTGGTGGTTATAGGCTTGACCCCTACACATGGCCCCAAAGGACAGAAATTACGTATTCAATACAACTTGAGGTTACTTAGGTGGCTGCTGAGATACCTGTACAAGTCAGGTGTAACTGCCAGGTACACCAGCAAAATGGCTGTTATCGCAGTGAAATGTATCTAATTCGCATCGTGGTTTGTTATCAAAGGTTAGAGTACTTCACCGCACGACTTTGTGTACACTCACCCTTGTGTTTCATGTATGACTGGCAGGCAGGCACAGTGCTGCGTACCCCATGGGCACTTATGGTTTGCTGTACCTGTGCCTACTGCTTGTAACAGTGTAAGCTGGGAGAGGTGTTATACCTGTGCCTACTGTTTGTAACAGTGTAGGCTGGGAGAGGTTATACCTCTGCCTACTGCTTGTAACAGTTAGGCTGGGAGAGGTTATATCTGTGCCTACTGCTATTAATAGTTAGGCTGGGAAAGGTTATACCTGTGCCTACTGCTTATGTCAGCAGACCTGTCTTTTAAAGACCATAACAAGACAAAGATCACGACAGCCAGGAAGATGACAGGGTTGGTATTGAGAACTTTCAAAACAAGGGAAATAATGCTGATGGTGACACTCTTCAAATCACTAGTGCTCCCTCACTTAGAATATTGTTCAGTGCTGACGGCCCCGTTCAAGGCAGGAGAAATATCGGAGCTGGAACAAATACAGAGATCATTTATGGCTCACATTGAGCCAGGAAAGCACCTAAACTACTGGGAACACATTGTGAGACCTTTACCCACTCTGCCTGAGGTATCCCAGCAAGTGAGCACGTCTCCTGTGTTATCCCAGTGCTTAACAGAATAGGGTATAGCATATGAAGGTACAAATAAAAATGGAAACTATGGCTATAGTTTACTTAACAACATAAAAGGGCTAGAATACAACAAATACTGGTGGAAATTGACATAATGTAACAGTTGAACTATGAGACTTATTACCAGGGGTAAGGTAGATGTTATTAGTAACACGGACTAGTACTCACTCTTAATTCACCGACCAGCTGACCCAAGATTCCCAATGCGTGGTCCACTACCCACGCGGCTGTCCAGAGCTCTCGCTCCCCGGACCTGTCGCCAACAACCCCTTGCTCAGCTGTTCCCTGGCTTATATTCCTCTAAGCACCCCCTTCCCCATAAGGCGTAGACCACATATTACGACTTGATGCCGAGAGGCGTGGCTGACAGACATTTGCCAAGGCCAGGTGTGACCATATAATTAGGTCTCCCTAGAGACCTCACAAGCCCAGCTGAACTACATCACAGCCTATAAGTCTTGAGCATGTACTCATTGGAGTGGAGGAGAGAGAGGTACATGATAATATATACCTGGAAGGTACTCGAGGGCCTGGCCCCAAATCTGCACACTGCCATAACATACTGGAGTGAGAGCTATGGGAGGAAGTGTACGATAAACTCAGTGAGGAGCAGGGGTGCGGTGGGGACAATAAGGGAACACTGTATCAACATCCGGGGTCCCAGACTTTTCAACATCTTACCAGAAGATATCAGAAACACTGCTGGAACAAGTGTTGAAGCCTTTAAGAGGAAACTAGACAAGTATCTTCACCAGGTGCCAGATCAACCAGTCTGTGATGGATATGTGGGGCAGCGGGCCTCCAGCAGCAACAGCCTGGTTGACCAGGCAAGCACCAGACGAGCCTGGCCCATGGCCGGGCTCAGAGAGTAGATAAACTCTGGAAACTCTTCAAAGGTATATCAAAGGTATAACAGTGTAGGCTGGGAGAGGTGTTATGGTCACTATGTCTAAGTCGAACTTTAACCCGTAAATGGTCCAAACGTAAATATACGTTTTTTCAACATTTGAAAGTATGTAAAAAAAGTAGATCTTCTTTTTGTTTTTTACATTTGAAAACGTGTAAAAAAAACTTTGATCTACTTTTTTTTGTTATATTTGAAAATATGTAAAAAAAACGTAATCTACTTTTGTAGCGCAACACATGTGAACGTAGATCTGCTTGGTCCGTTTACGAGTTAATGTGTGTGAGAAGTAATAGTGTGTACAGTAGGCTAGGAAAGCTTCATTACTAGATTAAATCTTACAAATTAACCCTTAAACGGTCCAAACGTATATATACGTTTTTTCAACTTCTGAAAGTATGGAAAAAAATGTACATCTTCTTTTTTGTTTTACATTTGAAAACTTTTATCTACATTTTTTTTTGTTATTGAAAATATGTAAAAAAAAAGTAGATCTACTTTTGTAGCTACGAATTTGAACGTCGATCTGTTTGGTCCGTTTAAGTGTTAAGAGTGTATTGAGAATAAGATAAGATAAGATTTCGTTCGGATTTTTAACCCCGGAGGGTTAGCCACCCAGGATAAGCCAAGAAAGTCAGTGCGTCATCCAGGACTGTCTAACTTATTTCCATTGGGGTCGTTAATCTTGTCCCCCAGGATGCCACCCACACCAGTCGACTAACACCCAGGTACCTATTTGCTGCTAGGTGAACAGGACAACAGGTGTAAGGAAACGTGTCGAAATGTTTCCACCCGCCGGGAATCAAACCCGGGCCCTCCATGTGTGAAGCGGGAGCTTTAGCCATCAGGCCACCGGGCCACCTAAATTATAAACGCCAACAGCATTTGGTGTTCCCAGGCGGTCACCCATCCAAGTACTAACCAAACCCAACGTTGCTTAACTTCGCTGATCGGACGAGAAGCGGTGTGTTCAACGTGGTATGTGGCGCCACTGTACCATTGGTGGGACTGCTCACCCCTCCTCCTCCTTTCCCCCCCAACTTAGGGAAGTTTAACATGTTTTCTGTCTCCAAAAACCAGAAAAACGATTTTCGGTCTTCTCGCTTTAGACATGGACACCGCCAAAAAACCCATAATTTTCTGACTTAAAACCTCAAATACCATTGTTTTCTGACTTAAAACCCCAACAAAATGTCATTTTCCAACATAAAACCAAAATGCCATCGTTTTCCAACTTAAAACAAACAAAAAAAAGCAACAATCATCTGCAGCGATCATCCACATAATTGACAGTCCATTATTGATGGATAATTGATGTTCTTTCTGCTGCAGAAAGTAGACCTCTGGGGCAACAATCAGCCACACAGTTGATGGTCTGCAAATTGATGGGTATTTGACATTCTTTCCACCGCAGAAATTAGACATCTGGGGCAGCAGTTGATGGGTAATTGACTTTTCCTCTGTAGAAATAAACTGCAAAGTTGATGGTCTAAAATTAATGGGTAAATGACATTCTTTCCATTGCAGAAAAAAGCGGAGGAATCGCACAACATCCTGGACAAATTGATGCCACCGACAGATGTTCCCACAGTCTTGGTGAGTTGATGATTGTGTTGATGTATTAATACTGTGTTTGTAGCCTTGTGTATTAATACAGTGTTTGTAGCCTAGTGTATTAATACAGTGTGTTTGTAGTCTGGTGTATTAATACAGTGTGTTTGTAGTCTGGTGTATTAATACAGTATTTGTAGCCTGGTGTATACACATTTCCAGCCGTGTAGAGTAATACAGGGTGTATTTCCAGCCGTTGTACCACCAGCCGACGGACACGGAAGTATACATGTCAAACAAGCGGCAATATGCGGGATTCAAGCGACGCTTGGTGGAGTATTTCAAGAAGAGGCATTCCAGCAAGAATGAGAGGGACTCCAGCATCACCCAGACGTACTCCAAGCTGATGACGGAGTGGTTGAAGAAAGTTGAGAAGGTAGATGATGCTGGTATATCATTGTGAGGTAGACAGGTAGATGATTGAGAGAGGTAGATAGGCAATTGAGAGAGACACTCCAGCAAAAACAAGAGGGACTCCAGCGTCACCCAGACGTACTCCAAGCTCATGACAGAGTAGTTGAAGAATGGGGTTCTAACCTTATCCAGACCTACTCTAAACTCATGATTGACCGTTTTAGAAATGTTAGACAGTGTTAGACAGTTTGTAGACCAAGTGTCTACACTACAATGTACACAAACAGTGCAGAGAGCACCCAGATTATACCAGTCTGACCGTCAAAATCAAACTCCTTTTGGTTTAAAGCATTTTACAGTGACATTCCTTTGATAATGTTTGATAAATGATAGTGGAACACAGTAGACATAGATGTATACCATACATGTAATACATAGTAACACTGAGCAAGTGGATAGGGTTGAAGAGGTGTACAAGTGTAGTGTTGCCAACACCAAGTGTAGTGTTGCCAACATCAAGTGTAGTGTTGCCAGCACCAAGTGTAGTGTTGCCAACACCAAGTGTAGTGTTGCCAACACCAAGTGTAGTGTTGCCAGCACCAAGTGTAGTGTTGCCAGCACCAAGTGTAGTGTTGCCAACACCAAGTGTAGTGTTGCCAACACCAAGTGTAGTGTTGCCAGCACCAAGTGTAGTGTTGCCAGCACCAAGTGTAGTGTTGCCAACACCAAGTGTAGTGTTGCCAGCACCAAGTGTAGTGTTGCCAACATCAAGTGTAGTGTTGCCAAGACCAAGTGTAGTGTTGCCAACATCAAGTGTAGTGTTGCCAACATCAAGTGTACTGTTGCCAACACCAAGTGTAGTGTTGCCAGCACCAAGTGTAGTGTTGCCAACATCAAGTGTAGTGTTGCCAACACCAAGTGTATTGTTGCCAGTACCAAGTGTAGTGTTGCCAACATCAAGTGTAGTGTTGCCAACATCAAGTGTAGTGTTGCCAACATCAAGTGTAGTGTTGCCAAGACCAAGTGTAGTGTTGCCAACACCAAGTGTTGTGTTGCCAACATCAAGTGTAGTGTTGCCAACATCAAGTGTAGTGTTGCCAAGACCAAGTGTAGTGTTGCCAACACCAAGTGTAGTGTTGCCAACACCAAGTGTAGTGTTGCCAACACCAAGTGTATTGTTGCCAACATCAAGTGTAGTGTTGCCACCACCAAGTGTAGTGTTGCCAACATCAAGTGTAGTGTTGCCAGCACCAAGTGTATTGTTGCCAACATCAAGTGTAGTGTTGCCACCACCAAGTGTAGTGTTGCCAACATCAAGTGTAGTGTTGCCAACACCAAGTGTTGTGTTGCCAACATCAAGTGTAGTGTTGCCAACATCAAGTGTAGTGTTGCCAAGACCAAGTGTAGTGTTGCCAACATCAAGTGTAGTGTTGCCAAGACCAAGTGTAGTGTTGCCAACATCAAGTGTAGTGTTGCCAAGACCAAGTGTAGTGTTACCAACAGCAAGTGTAGTGTTGCCAAGACCAAGTGTAGTGTTGCCAAGACCAAGTGTAGTGTTGCCAAGACCAAGTGTAGTGTTGCCAACATCAAGTGTAGTGTTGCCAAGACCAAGTGTAGTGTTGCCAAGACCAAGTGTAGTGTTGCCAATATCAAGTGTAGTGTTGCCAAGACCAAGTGTAGTGTTGCCAACATCAAGTGTAGTGTTGCCAACATCAAGTGTAGTGTTGCCAACACCAAGTGTAGTGTTGCCAAGACCAAGTGTAGTGTTGCCAACACCAAGTGTAGTGTTGCCAACACCAAGTGTAGTGTTTGCCAACACCAAGTGTAGTGTGCCAACACCAAGTGTAGTGTTGCCAACACCAAGTGTAGTGTTGCCAACACCAAGTGTAGTGTTGCCAAGACCAAGTGTAGTGTTGCCAAGACCAAGTGTAGTGTTGCCAAGACCAAGTGTAGTGTTGCCAACATCAAGTGTAGTGTTGCCAAGACCAAGTGTAGTGTTGCCAAGACCAAGTGTAGTGTTGCCAAGACCAAGTGTAGTGTTGCCAAGACCAAGTGTAGTGTTGCCAAGACCAGTACAGTAGAACCCCTGCATCTGGAGGGTTCAATTATTCACAGTTTACCATGGCCTAAAAATAGCCTTAATTTAGCTTAATAACGGCCACAAGGCACAAAAATAGTGACAATTACTCAAGACTTAACTCCTTGACGATCCAAAAACCCGATTTTAAACTTGTCCGACGGGTCCAAGAATTCTCAAAAATTTTTTTTTTATTTTTTTTTATTAAATGGCAGAGAATCTTTTTCTGATGGTAATAAAATGAAATTTACAAAATTTGATCGGCAGTTGATAAAGTTACGCTATCATGAATTTTGTTGCATCGGCAATTCTACCCACTTTGAGTCCTATTTTAGGCCAGTTACATTGTTCCAGTCGACCAAATTCATAGCTATTTTGCTAGTATGTTTTTCTATTTTACTGAACACAAGAAATTGCCCAATCATCAGTTTCCCAATTAGTGATCAGAAATTGGTAATTTGGCCAATTTCACACACACAGTTCAAAATATGCAAATTTCAAAATAGGGTCCAGAATATACAATGCAGACATTCGTGGCACTAAAATAACACTTCATCTGTTCATCAGACACGTTCCCAGAAGCTTTACATACGAATAACATTTTGACGTTTTCTTCGCAGAATTTTGACTCACGAAAAATAGATTTACTGTCATGCAGTATTGTGATAATTAAATAATATCAGCACATTTGTGAATGCATGTTAGATCTCGTATTGGACGTTTGACATTATTTGTTTACTCTTGAACGTCGGCAAAAAATCAAACAATTCCACTATTTTGGGCTCAATTTCAAGCTATTTTGAGTCCTAAAACCATTCAGAATCATCTGTATTTCTGTAATATATCTTCCATTCTATCAAATAAAACCAGGAAACTGAGAGTACATCCATAAAAACCATACAGAAATACAGTGGACCCTCGGTTTACGATCAGCTCCCAGTGCGACCAATTATGTAAATGTATTTATGTAAGTGCGTTTGTATGTGTATGTTTGGGGGTCTGAAATGGACTAATCTATTATTATTATTATTATCACACTGGCCGATTCCCACCAAGGCAGGGTGGCCCGAAAAAGAAAAACTTTCACCATCATTCACTCCATCACTGTCTTGCCAGAAGGGTGCTTTACACTACAGTTTTTAAACTGCAACATTAACACCCCTCCTTCAGAGTGCAGACACTGTACTTCCCATCTCCAGGACTCAAGTCCGGCCTGCCGGTTTCCCTGAACCCCTTCATAAATGTTACTTTGCTCACACTCCAACAGCACGTCAAGTATTAAAACCCATTTGTCTCCATTCACTCCTATCAAACACGCTCACGCATGCCTGCTGGAAGTCCAAGCCCCTCACACACAAAACCTCCTTTACCCCCTCCCTCCAACCTTTCCTAGGCCGACCCCTACCCCGCCTTCCTTCCACTACAGACTGATACACTCTTGAAGTCGCTCTGTTTCGCTCCATTCTCTCTACATGTCCGAACCACCTCAACAACCCTTCCTCAGCCCTCTGGACAACAGTTTTGGTAATCCCGCACCTCCTCCTAACTTCCAAACTACGAATTCTCTGCATTATATTCACACCACACATTGCCCTCAGACATGACATCTCCACTGCCTCCAGCCTTCTCCTTGCTGCAACATTCATCACCCATGCTTCACACCCATATAAGAGCGTTGGTAAAACTATACTCTCATACATTCCCCTCTTTGCCTCCAAGGACAAAGTTCTTTGTCTCCACAGACTCCTAAGTGCACCACTCACCCTTTTCCCCTCATCAATTCTATGATTCACCTCATCTTTCATAGACCCATCCGCTGACACGTCCACTCCCAAATATCCGAATACATTCACCTCCTCCATACTCTCTCCCTCCAATCTGATATCCAATCTTTCATCACCTAATATTTTTGTTATCCTCATAACCTTACTCTTTCCTGTATTCACTTTTAATTTTCTTCTTTTGCACACCCTACCAAATTCATCCACCAATCTCTGCAACTTCTCTTCAGAATCTCCCAAGAGCACAGTGTCATCAGCAAAGAGCAACTGTGACAACTCCCACTTTATGTGTGATTCTTTATCTTTTAACTCCACGCCTCTTGTCAAGACCCTCGCATTTACTTCTCTTACAACCCCATCTATAAATATATTAAACAACCACGGTGACATCACACATCCTTGTCTAAGGCCTACTTTTACTGGGAAATAATTTCCCTCTTTCCTACATACTCTAACTTGAGCCTCACTATCCTCGTAAAAACTCTTCACTGCTTTCAGTAACCTACCTCCTACACCATACACTTGCAACATCTGCCACATTGCCCCCCTATCCACCCTGTCATACGCCTTTTCCAAATCCATAAATGCCACAAAGACCTCTTTAGCCTTATCTAAATACTGTTCACTTATATGTTTCACTGTAAACACCTGGTCCACACACCCCCTACCTTTCCTAAAGCCTCCTTGTTCATCTGCTATCCTATTCTCCGTCTTACTCTTAATTCTTTCAATAATAACTCTACCATACACTTTACCAGGTACACTCAACAGACTTATCCCTCTATAATTTTTGCACTCTCTTTTATCCCCTTTGCCTTTATACAAATGCAATATTCCTTATGGGAACAAATTCGTTCAGTACTGGCACCTGAACATACTTCTGGAATGAAATAATATCGTAAACCGGGGGTCCACCGTAGACTGCACCGTCGCTGTTTTAAACCAAAAATATCATTGCAGTTTTTTCTCATACACTGCACGCTGCACGATTTTATGTGGTGTACACTGATGACATAGACCTATTCTCTAACATCCAGGCCTAAATTTACCACTCACAGCTTATCTGAGTGAGCTAAGCTCAGGGTGTAGTACGACAGCACAGTGAGCTGAGCTCAGGGTGTAGTACTACAGCACATTGAGCTAAGCTCAGGGTGTAGTACGACAGCACAGTGAGCTGAGCTCAGGGTGTAGTACTACAGCACAGTGAGCTGAGCTCAGGGTGTAGTACAACAGCACAGTGAGCTGAGCTCAGGGTGTAGTACGACAACACAGTGAGCTGAGCTCAGAGTGTAGTACTACAGCACAGTGAGCTGAGCTCAGGGTGTAGTACTACAGCACAGTGAGCTGAGCTCAGGGTGTAGTACTACAGCACAGTGAGCTGAGCTCAGGGTGTAGTACTACAGCACAGTGAGCTAAGCTCAGGGTGTAGTACTACAGCACAGTGAGCTGAGCTCAGGGTGTAGTATGACAGCACAGTGAGCTGAGCTCAGGGTGTAGTATGACAGCACAGTGAGCTGAGCTCAGTGTGTAGTACAACAGCACAGTGAGCTGAGCTCAGGGTGTAGTACAACAGCACAGTGAGCTGAGCTCAGGGTGTAGTACAACAGCACAGTGAGCTGAGCTCAGGGTGTAGTACAACAGCACAGTGAGCTGAGCTCAGGATGTAGTACTACAGCACAGTGAGCTGAGCTCAGGGTGTAGTACAACAGCACAGTGAGCTGAGCTCAGGGTGTAGTACGACAGCACAGTGAGCTGAGCTCAGAGTGTAGTACTACAGCACAGTGAGCTGAGCTCAGGGTGTAGTACTACAGCACAGTGAGCTGAGCTCAGGGTGTAGTACAACAGCACAGTGAGCTGAGCTCAGGGTGTAGTACTACAGCACAGTGAGCTGAGCTCAGGGTGTAGTACAACAGCACAGTGAGCTGAGCTCAGGGTGTAGTACTACAGCACAGTGAGCTGAGCTCAGGGTGTAGTACAACAGCACAATGAGCTGAGCTCAGGGTGTTGTATGACAGCACAGTCAGATGAGCTCAGGGTGTAGTGTGACAGCACAGTGAGCTGAGCTCAGGGTGTAGTGTGACAGCACAGTGAGCTGAGCTCAGGGTGTAGTGTGACAGCACAGCGAGCTGAGCTCAGGGTGTAGTACGACAGCACAGCGAGATGAGCTCAGGGTGTAGTACTACAGCACAGTGAGATGAGCTCAGGGTGTAGTGTGACAGCACAGTGAGCTGAGCTCAGGGTGTAGTACTACAGCACAGTGAGCTGAGCTCAGGGTGTAGTACTACAGCACAGTGAGCTGAGCTCAGGGTGTAGTACGACAGCACAGTGAGATGAGCTCAGGGTGTAGTACGACGGCACAGTGAGCTGAACTCGGGGTGTAGTATGACAGCACAGTGAGATGAGCTCAGGGTGTAGTACTACAGCACGGTGAGCTGAGCTCAGGGTGTAGTGTGACAGCACAGTGAGCTGAGCTCAGGGTGTAGTATGACAGCACAGCGAGCTGAGCTCAGGGTGTAGTACGACAGCACAGTGAGCTGAGCTCAGGGTGTAGTGTGACAGCACAGTGAGCTGAGCTCAGGGTGTAGTATGACAGCACAGCGAGCTGAGCTCAGGGTGTAGTACGACAGCACAGTGAGCTGAGTTCAGGGTGTAGTACGACAGCACAGTGAGCTGAGCTCAGGGTGTAGTACTACAGCATGGTAAGCTGAGCTCAGGGTGTAGTACTATAACACAGTGAGCTGAGCTTAGGGTGTAGTACTACAGCATGGTAAGCTAAGCTCAGGGTGTAGTACTACAGCATGGTAAGATGAGCTCAGGGTGTAGTACTACAACACAGTGAGCTGAGCTTAGGGTGTAGTGTGACAGGACAGTGAGCAAATGGGTTAATATTCACTCTTGACAACACACATCGCACACATAATTCCCAGTTCCAGGAGGACATATATATATATGTTGTGGCAACACTTCCTGAGTCTTACTATGGATAACATGTATGGTATACATGCATGTATATGTATTCCACCATACACATATCACATGTATCACACATCAAAGTAAAGTCAGGGTAAAATGCTTTAAACCAAAAGGTATTCAGTTTTTCTGGTCCTTTTTAAATATTTTGACCTGTTTACTTACACAGGTGTTCAATTTATAGATTTAAAAAAGACCTGTAATAGGCTCCATAGACTAGTAATGTGGCAAATGTTGTAGGTGTATGGAATAGGTGGTAGGTTACTGAAGGCAGTTAAGAGTTTTGACGAAGATTGGCTGTGTCTTTGTGTAGGAGAGGGAGATTATTTTCCCAGTTAAAAGTAGGCCTTAAGTAGTGATGTGTCACCATGATTGTTAGACAGTACAGTAGGCCTTAGACATGAATGCATAATGTCACCATGGTTGTCTAACATGTGACAATTCTCACAGTTGCTTTTTGCTGATGACACTGTGCTTGTGGGAGATTCTGAATATATATATGTATATATACTGAGATAGACACCTCTCAATCTATATATACTGAGATATATACCTCTCAGTGTATCAGTATATATGCAGTGAGATATATACCTCTTAGTGTATATATACTGAGATACCAGCCATGGGGAGTGGAAATCTTAAGCTCAAGTACTTTCACACTTCTCAGTGTGTCAACAAGAGCTGTGCAGTGTTGCAAAGGCAGCAATAGGAGAAATAAGGTTAAGTTTTTTCAGAGTATGGTAGTGTGAGTGGCTCAGTCAGGAAGAGCCAGGTGTTGAATGTGATCTTTAACCATGTCCGTTCTTGTAATCACCCACCAGGGTGGGCTGCCGCCCAGATGATTGTACCCAACAATTCCATCATGGAAACAAACATAACTGAGTCCTCCCTCTTGCAACATGATCTGAATGCTGTATATAACTCAAATTATTGGCTGTACAAACTCGATAGTTATTTAGTGGAGTCTATTGTGCACAGCCTTAAACGACAATTTACAAAAACACGGAATTGCTCGTTATGCCAGGGGGTTTCGTGATGTTTCGGTTATATTCAACCAGAGTCTGCAAACTGAACATCATGGTACGCCCATTGAGAACATCAATATAATGCATAACATATCGTTAAATCCATCGTGAATGTCAAAATTTAACATGTTAGGTCTTCCGTGACCATCGACATAACCCACCCTCCTACCACTGCATACAAGTATCACAATGCTACAGGTACTGTAGGTGGTGTGCTGCAATACATACTGCAACCTGAGCAATATAACATCAGTAGTAAGGAGGTAGTCATGGGGGTTCATTTAGGTATGGGTGCACATGTGTGGTCATCCTTGGATAGCCTAATAGAGAGGCAGAGTGACCTGTTAAGGTCCTAACCCGTCTAGGTACAGCGGTACATGGTGGTAAAAAGAAAATCAGGAATTACCTAGTTATTATAAGAAAGAAAAGCCTGAACAGGAGAATTCACACAGACATATTAACACAGAATATTTCCTGAATATTCTAGAACGTTGTATTACCGGCTGACAAAAATGAAGGATTTATTCCTTCTGTTTCATTAGTTAGAACGTTGTTCACATTAGCTACATATTTTATGCTGTATAGCCCTTGTGGTTTAGCACTTTTTTTGATTATAATAATAATACATTATGTAAATGATCCACTATTGTAATGTAACTTCTTACATCACATGACCTGTTGCCAGTGGTTAGAAACTTAGGGCTAGCTGTTACCTATCTCTTAGTTATTTTACCTCACGCTATCTGCAGACTGTGGGGCCTACTCCACTTGACCCCATATGGTGTGGGGGGGACCAGTGTGTGGTTGGCATTCTGCTGGGCAGAATGAGATACTGGCGGGTGCCACCCACGTTACCATGCTATGAAAAAAACTTCCTCTCATTTCTCCTGTTGCTGCCTTTGCAACATTGCAAAGCTCCTGATGATGCACTGAGAAGTTTGAAAGTACTTGAGCTTGTACATGGTTTGTCTTGCATTGTTAACCCTTCGACTGTCCAAATGTAGATCTACGTTTACGTGCGTAGCGCTCCAACCTTTATTTTCTCCATTTGAAAGCATGTAAAAAACGTAGATCTACGTTTGGAGCGCTACACATGTGAGAGTAGATCTGTGTTTGGACATTTTAAGGGTTAAGATTACCTGTTTGTGATTGTTTTGCACATACTAAGATATACACCTTCCAGTATACACACAGTCATACACACCTCCCATTATACACACACACACAGATATACACACACCTCAGCATATATACTGAGAGATACACATCTCCCAGTGTATATACACAGTCATACCCAGCATCTCCCAGCATACCCATACACACCTTCCAGCATCCCCTATCATCTTCCATCATGTCCCAGCCTCTCCCAGCATACATGTACACACCTTCCAGCATCTCTCATCTCCCACCCCCAGCATCTCTCAGCATCCCCATCATCTCCCAGCATACACACCTTCCAGCATCTTCCATCATCTCCCACATACCTTGCAGGTTGAGAACTCCAAGAGACACAAGGAGAAGGTGGCCAAGAACAGAGAACTCTTTGAGAAAGTCTTCCCAGAACTAAGGAAGCAGAGAGAAGAGAAGGAGAGGTTCTCAAGGGTGGGGGCCAGAGTCAAGAGTGATGCTGAGATGGAGGAGATCATGGATGGTTTACAAGAGCAGGAGGTGAGTTTACTGTATACCAAGTATGTGTGGGGGTGTAGACAGCCTGTACTGTCAGAACACACAGCCTAGCCGTCTGTTCTGACTAGTTCATATTTCGCGGCATTTAAGTGCTGCCCTCTGTAGGCTCACCCAGGTCAGTGGGAGGCTGAGCCCATTCGCTCTCACTCCGAGGCCGACCAACCAACCTGATAGGCACAAGTGCTCCCCCTCCACGGACTGGCTTGCGGTCACTCCCTCACACTGCCCGTTGTGTACTCACTCCTATCCAATTAATGCCAAACTAGTCCACGGCCGTATCATTGCTACCTACGCTACCTTCATCGGCACTAAACCGCTGTTCAGCAGCAAGAACAGTAATAACAGTGGTGACAGCAGTGGGATGTGGTCTGACAGTGTGTGGTAGACTGTGGTGGTGTATGGCAGTGTTTGATTTGTGTGGTAGACTGTGGCTGTGTGTGGTAGACTGTGGCTGTGTGTGGTAGACTGTGGCTGTGTGTGGTAGACTGTGGCTGTGTGTGGTAGACTGTGACTGTGTGTGGTAGACTGTGACTGTGTGTGGTAGACTGTGGTGGTGTATGGCAGTGTTTGATTTGTGTGGTAGACTGTGGCTGTGTGTGGTAGACTGTGGCTGTGTGTGGTAGACTGTGACTGTGTGTGGTAGACTGTGGCTGTGTGTGGTAGACTGTGACTGTGTGTGGTAGACTGTGGTGGTGTATGGTAGACTGTGGCTGTGTGTGGTAGACTGTGGCTGTGTGTGGTAGACTGTGGCTGTGTGTGGTAGACTGTGGCTGTGTGTGGTAGACTGTGGCTATGTGTGGTAGACTGTGTCTGTGTGTGGTAGACTGTGGCTGTGTGTGGTAGACTGTGGCTGTGTGTGGTAGACTGTGGCTGTGTGTGGTAGACTGTGGCTGTGTGTGGTAGACTGTGGTGTGTGTGGTAGAAATGTGGCTGTGTGTGGTAGACTGTGGTGTGTGTGGTAGACTGTGGCTGTGTGTGGTAGACTGTGGCTATGTGTGGTAGACTGTGGCTGTGTGTGGTAGACTGTGGCTGTGTGTGGTAGACTGTGGCTATGTGTGGTAGACTGTGGCTGTGTGTGGTAGACTGTGGCTGTGTGTGGTAGACTGTGGCTATGTGTGGTAGACTGTGGCTGTGTGTGGTAGACTGTGGCTGTGTGTGGTAGACTGTGGCTGTGTGTGGTAGACTGTGGCTGTGTGTGGTAGACTGTGGCTGTGTGTGGTAGACTGTGGCTGTGTGTGGTAGACTGTGGCTGTGTGTGGTAGACTGTGACTGTGTGTGGTAGACTGGGGCTGTGTTTGGTAGACTGTGGCTGTGTGTGGTAGACTGTGGCTGTGTGTGGTAGACTGTGGCTGTGTGTGGTAGACTGTGGCTGTGTGTGGTAGACTGTGACTGTGTGTGGTAGACTGTGGCTGTGTGTGGTAGACTGTGGCTGTGTGGTAGACTGTGGCTGTGTGTGGTAGACTGTGACTGTGTGTGGTAGACTGTGGCTATGTGTGGTAGACTGTGACTGTGTGTGGTAGACTGTGGCTGTGTGTGGTAGACTGTGGCTGTGTGTGGTAGACTGTGACTGTGTGTGGTAGACTGTGGCTGTGTGTGGTAGACTGTGGCTGTGTGTGGTAGACTGTGGCTGTGTGTGGTAGACTGTGGCTATGTGTGGTAGACTGTGGCTGTGTGTGGTAGACTGTGGCTGTGTGTGGTAGACTGTGGCTGTGTGTGGTAGACTGTGGCTGTGTGTGGTAGACTGTGGCTGTGTGTGGTAGACTGTGGCTGTGTGGTAGACTGTGGCTGTGTGTGGTAGACTGTGGCTGTGTGTGGTAGACTGTGGCTGTGTGTGGTAGACTGTGGCTGTGTGTGGTAGACTGTGGCTGTGTGTGGTAGACTGTGGCTGTGTGTGGTAGACTGTGGCTGTGTGTGGTAGACTGTGGCTGTGTGTGGTAGCTGTGACTGTGTGGTAGACTGTGGCTGTGTGTGGTAGACTGTGGCTATGTGTGGTAGACTGTGGCTGTGTGTGGTAGACTGTGGCTGTGTGTGGTAGACTGTGGCTGTGTGTGGTAGACTGTGGCTGTGTGTGGTAGACTGTGTCTGTGTGTGGTAGACTATGGCTGTGTGTGGTAGACTGTGGCTGTGTGTGGTAGACTGTGGCTGTGTGTGGTAGACTGTGGCTATGTGTGGTAGACTGTGGTGGTGTATGGTAGACTGTGGCTGTGTGTGGTAGACTGTGGCTGTGTGTGGTAGACTGGCTGTGTGTGGTAGACTGTGGCTGTGTGTGGTAGACTGTGGCTGTGTGTGGTAGACTGTGGCTGTGTGTGGTAGACTGGCTGTGTGTGGTAGACTGTGGCTGTGTGGTAGACTGTGGCTGTGTGTGGTAGACTGTGGCTGTGTGTGGTAGACTGTGGCTGTGTGTGGTAGACTGTGGCTGTGTGTGGTAGACTGGCTGTGTGTGGTAGACTGTGGCTATGTGTGGTAGACTGTGGCTGTGTGTGGTAGACTGTGGCTGTGTGTGGTAGACTGTGGCTGTGTGTGGTAGACTGTCTACCCAAACAACAGAATAACAGTACATGTTCATCAGTCATTACAGTTGTTCAACAGAACACTAGAAACTAACACTCCAGTATACAAAGATATAGGCCTGATGTAAATAACTATAGGCCTATATCTGACATAAATATAGGCCTATATCTGACATAAATAACTGTAGGCATATATCTGACATAAATAATTATAGGCCTATATCTGACATAAATATAGGCCTATATCTGACATAAATATAGGCCTATATCTGACATAAATAACTATAGGCCTATATCTGATCTACTGTCATCCAAATTTTCGAAAAAATAATGTGTGAGAGATTGTACTCTTTTTCCATCAATCAGTGTACCCAACCCCCCCATGCTAGGTTTTAGTACAGACAAGAACACATTGAGAGAAAGGAACACATTCACCATCACTCAGTCAATGGCTTCCTTGACACACTTACTATTATCAAACTTGTTCTCTCTCCACTTTTTTCTAAAAATACAGAAAATTTTTCTTTAGGGAATGGTAGAGGATGTTTTTGCAGAGGCCCCGATGCCAGAAGTGCAAAATTCAGTGGGAAATTGGCGGAGTTATGCCAGTGCAAAGCAGTCCACACACTGGAGATTTTGCCTACTTTAAGGCCTGTCTTAGTCTGATTCTGTCATTCCAGTCAGCCAAATTCTTAGCTATTTTGCTAGTATGTCTTTCATTCTATGGATTGAGAACAGGAAAGTGCCCATTAACTATTTCAACTACTCTGTAAAGTGGTCAGAAGTCGGTAATTTAGCCAGTTTTACACAAAATTAAAATGCCAACTTAAAAATAGGGTCCATAATAAACAATGTAGACATTGCCAGCACAGAATCAACATTTACTGTTTTAGTCACATCCTGGGTCTCCCCTGGCCTCCCTAGGCCTCCCCTGGCCTCCCTCAGCCTCCATAGGCCTCCCCTGGCTTCCCCAGACCTCCCTAGGCTATCCTGGCTTCCCCAGGCCTCCCTAGGCCTCTCCTATGTAACACATGACTTCCATTTTGAATTTTTATTCAAACAAAAAAAACAGAAGATTTACTCTTATTTCTTTGATAATATAGCCAGGAAATATCATTTATAGTTTACAGCCTCCCAATAATTGAATTAGGCCTGTTAAAAACCCATAAACCAGACTGGGGGTTGTAGGGAGGCCTGACCCAGCCTCTGGAATATTGACAAAAAATTGAATATTTCTGCTAATTTGAGCTCAATTTCAAGCTACTTCTGGTCCTGAAACCATTCAAAATCATCTATATTTCAATAATATATCTTCCAGTCTATCAAATAAAACCAAGAAATCCAGAATAAAGCTATAAAAAACTACAAGAAAACACCTTAAACCAAGTGTTTTAAACCAAGTGTTTTAAACTGCCACCATTGTGTGGCAGGAATTTTTATACAGTGCATCTGACAACATAGACCCAGTCTCTCATATCTAGGCCTAAATTTACCCCTCACAGGCCTGTCTGAGTGAGGTAAACTCTAGACTACATTAAGGACCCTGACTTCAGTGTCACAGGTCTGTGGTAAGTCCTCGACTTAACAGACACACTGTGGTCCTGAATTGTCTGTAATAATATATAATATATAATAATATATAATAATGATACTAGACATAATAATGATATTTAAAATACAGAAGATTTTCCAGGTGTATGTAAGTCAAGAACTTACTATATGTAACAGCCACCGAAATCTCCAGTGCATAAAGTGCGTCCAGACCGCTAACTTTGTGCCGGCGTAACTGCCAGTGCAAAGTTGCCTTCAGAAAGAGATTCGCTACCATTTAAAAAAACATACATACATATTTTTAAATTTTTGGGCAACAAGAGCAGGTTACATTATTGACATCTAGACAGTGATGTAAACAACTGCAATTCCACCCAATTTGAGGCTTATTTTAGGCCACTGACTATTTTGCTAGTATCCCTTTTGTACTAACCATTGGCCATAAGAAACTGTTTATTCAACCATCAGAGTTATCCTCTCAGGCTGCCAGAAGCCACTAAATTGGCTAATTTTACAAAAAATTTGAAGTAAAGTAGTGCCCCAGTACCAGTGCCCAGTACCAGTGCCCAGTACCAGTGCCCCAGTACCAGTGCCCAGTACCAGTGCCCCAGTACCAGTGCCCCAGTACCAGTGCCCAGTACCAGTGCCCCAGTACCAGTGGGGATACCTTCCAAGAACTTCCCTGGATACCTCCAACACTGATACTACCCAACAAGTGCCCCAGTACCAGTGGGGATACCTTCCAAGAACTTCCCTGGATACCTCTAACACTGATACTACCCAACAAGTGCCCCAGTACCAGTGGGAATACCTTCCAAGAACTTCCCTGGATACCTCCAACACTGATACTACCCAACAAGTGCCCCAGTACCAGTGGGGATACCTTCCAAGAACTTCCCTGGATACCTCCAACACTGATACTACCCAACAAGTGCCCCAGTACCAGTGGGAATACCTTCCAAGAACTTCCCTGGATACCTCCAACACTGATACTACCCAACAAGTGCCCCAGTACCAGTGGGAATACCTTCCAAGAACTTCCCTGGATACCTCCAACACTGATACTACCCAACAAGTGCCCAGTACCAGTGGGAATACCTTCCAAGAACTTCCCTGGATACCTCCAACACTGATACTACCCAACAAGTGCCCCAGTACCAGTGGGGATGCCTTCCAAAAACTTCCCTGGATACCTCCAACACTGATACTACCCAACAAGTGCCCCAGTACCAGTGGGGATACCTTCCAAGAACTTCCCTGGATACCTCCAACACTGATACTACCCAACAAGTGCCCCAGTACCAGTGGGGATACCTTCCAAGAACTTCCCTGGATACCTCCAACACTGATACTACCCAACAAGTGCCCCAGTACCAGTGGGGATACCTTCCAAAAACTTCCCTGGATACCTCCAACACTGATACTACCCAACCAGTGCCCCAGTACCAGTGGGAATACCTTCCAAGAACTTCCCTGGATACCTCCAACACTGATACTACCCAACAAGTGCCCCAGTACCAGTGGGGATACCTTCCAAGAACTTCCCTGGATACCTCCAACACTGATACTACCCAACAAGTGCCCCAGTACCAGTGGGGATACATTCCAAGAACTTCCCTGGATACCTCCAACACTGATACTACCCAACAAGTGCCCCAGTACCAGTGGGGATACCTTCCAAGAACTTCCCTGGATACCTCCAACACTGATACTACCCAACAAGTGCCCCAGTACCAGTGGGGATACCTTCCAAGAACTTCCCTGGATACTCCAACACTGATACTACCCAACAAGTGCCCCAGTACCAGTGGGGATACCTTCCAAGAACTTCCCTGGATACCTCCAACACTGATACTACCCAACAAGTGCCCCAGTACCAGTGGGGATACCTTCCAAGAACTTCCCTGGATACCTCCAACACTGATACTACCCAACAAGTGCCCCAGTACCAGTGGGGATACCTTCCAAGAACTTCCCTGGATACCTCCAACACTGATACTACCCAACAAGTGCCACAGTACCAGTGGGAATACCTTCCAAGAACTTCCCTGGATACCTCCAACACTGATACTACCCAACAAGTGCCCCAGTACCAGTGGGGATACCTTCCAAGAACTTCCCTGGATACCTCCAACACTGATACTACCCAACAAGTGCCCCAGTACCAGTGGGGATACCTTCCAAGAACTTCCCTGGATACCTCCAACACTGATACTACCCAACAAGTGCCCCAGTACCAGTGGGGATACCTTCCAAGAACTTCCCTGGATACCTCCAACACTGATACTACCCAACAAGTGCCACAGTACCAGTGGGAATACCTTCCAAGAACTTCCCTGGATACCTCCAACACTGATACTACCCAACAAGTGCCCCAGTACCAGTGGGGATACCTTCCAAGAACTTCCCTGGATACCTCCAACACTGATACTACCCAACAAGTGCCCCAGTACCAGTGGGGATACCTTCCAAGAACTTCCCTGGATACCTCCAACACTGATACTACCCAACAAGTGCCCCAGTACCAGTGGGGATAACTTCCAAGAACTTCCCTGGATACCTCCAACACTGATACTACCCAACAAGTGCCCCAGTACCAGTGGGAATACCTTCCAAGAACTTCCCTGGATACCTCCAACACTGATACTACCCAACAAGTGCCCCAGTACCAGTGGGAATACCTTCCAAGAACTTCCCTGGATACCTCCAACACTGATACTACCCAACCAGTGCCCCAGTACCAGTGGGGATACCTTCCAAGAACTTCCCTGGATACCTCCAACACTGATACTACCCAACCAGTGCCCCAGTACCAGTGGGGATAACTTCCCTGGATACCTCCAACACTGATACTACCCAACAAGTGCCACAGTACCAGTGGGGATACCTTCCAAGAACTTCCCTGGATACCTCCAACACTGATACTACCCAACAAGTGCCCCAGTACCAGTGGGGATACCTTCCAAGAACTTCCCTGGATACCTCCAACACTGATACTACCCCAACAAGTGCCCCAGTACCAGTGGGGATACCTTCCAAGAACTTCCCTGGATACCTCCAACACTGATACTACCCAACAAGTGCCCCAGTACCAGTGGGGATACCTTCCAAGAACTTCCCTGGATACCTCCAACACTGATACTACCCAACAAGTGCCCCAGTACCAGTGGGAATACCTTCCAAGAACTTCCCCGGATACCTCCAACACTGATACTACCCAACAAGTGCCCCAGTACCAGTGGGAATACCTTCCAAGAACTTCCCTGGATACCTCCAACACTGATACTACCCAACCAGTGCCCCAGTACCAGTGGGAATACCTTCCAAGAACTTCCCTGGATACCTCCAACACTGATACTACCCAACAAGTGCCCCAGTACCAGTGGGGATACCTTCCAAGAACTTCCCTGGATACCTCCAACACTGATACTACCAAATATTATATTTTTGGTTTATATACATGGCTGTGATCAAGTTGATAAATAATACAAAATAAATTAAGAAATATCACTTATTCACTGATGGGAAGTAATTCACATCTCCTCTTAGACCTTGAACACTGTCTCTTAGACCTTGAACACTGTCTCTTAGACCTTGAACACTGTCTCTTAGACCTTGAACACTGTCTCTTAGACCTTGAACACTGTCTCTTAGACCTTGAACACTGTCTCTTAGACCTTGAACACTGTCTCTTAGACCTTGAACACTGTCAGCATCACTACTTTTGTTCTTTGTGGCCATTATTAAGGTAAATTAAGGGTCATTTTCAGACCATGGTAAACCCTGGATAACTGAGCCCCTGAATAATTGAGCCCCTGAATAACTGAGCCCCTGGATAACTGAGCCCCTGGATAACTGAGCCCCTGGATAACTGAGCCCCTGGATAACTGAGCCCCTGAATAACTGAGCCCCTGGATAACTGAACCCCTGGATAACTGAACCCCTGGATAACTGAGCCTCTGGATAACTGAGCCCCTGGATAACTGAGCCCCTGGATGACTGAAACCTCCAATACTGAATCCATGGATATTGGCGTGTCCTGCTGTAATCCAATTTGGAAACAGAGTCCAAAATAAACATTGTGGTGACCACAGACATTAAATCGACCCTGTTTATTAATAGTGTCTTTAGGCATCTCCTATATAGCACTTAGCCTGTCTTTGATATTTGACTCTAACCCTCTACACTGTCTGAAATTGAATGTTTTTCCACTTTAAGGCTTATTTCAAGCCACGTCTGGTCAGAAACTGACCAGACGTGGTATTATTGTCTACTACCATTCCAGACCGCGGAGCTGAACTCTTCTCCAGACTGAGGGACTGACCATCTCAAATACTTTTCCTCCAAGACTGATATACTGATTACATCTTTATTTCACTACTACTGCTCCCTTTGTAGACTGAAGAAGCCTGGTGTGTATGCCAAATGTTTCATCAATAAAGACACCCAACTGTGGCACATGTCTTCAGTGTTGAAGACATGTGTGCTTCATATGAAAGGCCTCTTTCACACATTAGACACACTGGCTGATTTTATTTATCTGGACTAATATCAGACATGTGTGAGTGTGCTTGATAGGAGTAAATGGAGGTGAATGGTTTTTGGGATTTGATGTGCTATTGGAGTATGAGCAGGGTAATATTTTGTGAAGGGATTCAGGGGAAACTGGTTAGCCAGACTTGAGTCCTGGAGATAGTACAGTATCTGTACTCTAACCACTAACAACCCAAATCAACCTTACAGAATGAGGACAAGAAGATGCGGGCGTATGCTGTCATTCCACCAATCCTCCTAGAGGACAAGAAGCGTCGCCACCGCTACATCAACCAGAATGGACTCATCGAAGAGCCCATAGGAGAGTACAAGGACCACAAGAACATCAACATCTGGACGGAACAGGAACGGGAAATCTTCCGTGAGAAGTACCTCCAGCATCCCAAGAATTTCGTCGTCATAGCGAGTTATCTGGAGCGGAAGTCTGTCAACGACTGCATCCAGTATTACTACAGCACCAAGAAGAAGGAGAATTATAAGATGTTGGTCAAGCGGCGGATACGACGGCCGCGCAAGCCCAATAATCAACCGGTTGTGGAGGTTCTGGGGATGAATTCAACCGGGGTCACCACGCGGGGGTCTGTGGCGGCTCTGCGCACGCAGCAACCCCCAGGGCGCACCATGACCATGACCGGTGGCCAGGATGAGCCACAGAACTACTCTGCGGCGGCTGGTGCCACCGCGCCGGCCGCCACTACCACCACTGACACCCCTGCCACCTCACCGGCGCCGGCCACCATGACCCCGGAGCTGGCCAACACGGCTGCTGCCAACGACGCTTCAGCCGCCGCCGCAGCTGCCACACCTACCATATGCAACAAGGAATTGCAAGAAAAAGACAAGGAAAACCTCTCTGTCAAGTAAGTCATTGTTGTCTTTGCAACACTTGGGTGTATTGACACCTAGGTGCAACACTTGGGTGTATTGATAACACCTAGGTGCAGCACCTGGGTGTATTGATGACACCTGGGTGCAGCACCTGGGTGTATTGATAACACCTAGGTGCAGCACTTGGGTGTATTGACACCTAGGTGCAACACCTGGGTGTATTGATAACACCTAGGTGCAGCACCTGGGTGTATTGACACCTAGGTGCAACACCTGGGTGTATTGATAACACCTAGGTGCAACACTTGGGTGTATTGATAACACCTAGGTGCAGCACCTGGGTGTATTGATAACACCTAGGTGCAACACTTGGGTGTATTGATGACACCTGGGTATATTGACACCTAGGTGCAACACTTGGGTGTATTGATAACATCTAGGTGCAGCACCTGGGTGTATTGATAACACCTAGGTGCAACACTTGGGTGTATTGATGACACCTGGGTATATTGACACCTAGGTGCAGCACTTGGGTGTATTGATAATATCTAGGTGCAACACTTGGGTGTATTGATAACATCTAGGTGCAACACCTGGGTGTATTGATAACACCTAGGTGCAACACTTGGGTGTATTAACATCTAGGTGCAGCACCTGGGTGTATTGATGACACCTGGGTATATTGACACCTAGGTGCAGCACTTGGGTGTATTGACACCTAGGTGCAACACTTGGGTGTATTGATGACACCTGGGTGTATTGATTACACCTAGGTGCAATACCTAGGTGTATTGATAACACCTAGGTGCAACACCTGGGTGTATTGATATTACCTAGGTGCAGAACTTGGGTGTATTGATGATGCCTAGGTGCAGCACTTGGGTGTATTGGTGTCACCTGGGTGTATTGGTTACACCTAGGTGCAACACTTGGGTGTATTGACAAGACTTCTGTGTACAACATCTGGGTGTATTGACAAGACACCTGGGTGTATTAAGACACCTATGTGAAACACCTAGGTATATTTAGATACCTAGGTGCAACACCTGAGTGTATTAAGACACCTAGGTGCAACACCTGAGTGTATTAAGACACCTAGGTGCAACACCTGGGTGCATTAAGACACCTAGGTGCAATGCCTGTGTGTATTGAAAAGACACCTAGGTGCAGCACCTTTGTGTATTGACAAGACAACTAGATGTAGGACTTGGGTGTATTGATGACACATAGGTGCAACACCTGGGTGTATTAAGACACCTGGGTGTCTTAATATGCCCAAGTCATGTCAATACACCTGGGTGTATTGGCAAGACACCTAGATGCAGCACCTGGGTTTATTGACAAGACACCTAGGTGCAGCACCTGGGTTTATTGACAAGACACCTAGGTGCAACACCTGGATGTATTGACAAGACACCTAGGTGCAGCACCTGGGTGTATTGATGACATCTAGGTGCAACACCTGGGTGTATTGATAAGGCACCAAGGTGCAACACCTGGGTGTGGTTATTGAGGAATAAGACACATGTACAACACCTAGGTGTGATTATTGATGAATAAGATGCATGTATAACACCTGGGTGTCTATTGATGAACCAGACAACTGGGTGCAACACCTGGGTGTCTGTTGATGATTCTGCCACACACAGGTGTTAGGTACAGGGACACAAGTGCAACAGTTAATTGTTGTCAAGTTTTGCAGGAACTTTCTTCCGTAATTACGCTCGGTACATAATACACAGGCCGTATATAGCCTTTAACCCTTAAACTGTCCAAACAGATCTATGTTTACATGCGTAGTGCTCCAAAAGTAGATCTATGATTTTTTACATATTCTCACATATAACAAGAAAAACTGTAGATCACCGTTTTCTTACACGTTTTCAAATGTAAAAAAAAAAACAAAAGAAGATTACTTTTTTTACGTACTTTCAAATGTTGAAAAAACGTAGATCTATGTTTGGGCAGTTTAAGGGTTAAATGAGGTCTGCCTACTTAGCTGGAGGGTATTCCAGGGGTCAACACCCCTGTGGCCTGGTCTATGACAAGGCCACATGGTGGATCAGGGCATGATCAACCAGGCTGTTACTGTTGGCCGCACTTAGTCCAACGTACAAACCACAGCCCGCCTGATCCAGCGCTGACTTTAAGTATCTGTCCATCTCCCTCTTGATGGCAGCCAGGGTCTTGATGGCAGCCAGGGTCTTGATGGCAGCCAGGGTCTTGATGGCAGCCAGGGTCTTGATGGCAGCCAGGGTCTTGATGGCAGCCAGGATCTTGATGGCAGCCAGGGTCTTGATGGCAGCCAGGGTCTTGATGGCAGCCAGGGTCTTGATGGCAGCCAGGGTCTTGATGGCAGCCAGGGTCTTGATGGCAGCCAGGGTCTTGATGGCAGCCAGGGTCTTGATGGCAGCCAGGGTCTTGATGGCAGCCAGGGTCTTGATGGCAGCCAGGGTCTTGATGGCAGCCAGGGTCTTGATGGCAGCCAGGGTCTTGATGGCAGCCAGGGTCTTGATGGCAGCCAGGGGTATGTTGCACTGCCTACTTAGTCTTTTGTTTTCATGGGGAGTGATTTCTGTGTGCAGATTAAGGACCAGTCCCTGAAGGATTTTCCAGGTGTAGATTATGATATATCTCTCTCTCCTGCGCTCCAGTGAGTACAAGTCAATTGTTTCCAAGCGTTCCCAGTAGTTAAGGTGTTTGATGGAACTTATATGTGCAGTAAAGGTTCTCTGTACACTCTCTTGATCTGCAATTTCACCTGTCTTGAATGTAGATGTTAATGTACAGCAGTATTCCAGCTTAGAGAGAACAAGTGATTTAACCCCTTGACTGTCACAGCCCCAAATCCTGAGGTGTGTCCTGGTGTCCCCCCCCCCCAACACACACACATACACACACACAAAAAATTTTTTTTTTTTGTGAAATGATAGAGACTCTTCCCGATTGTAATGACACTAAAAGAATGAAATTTGATGAAAAACTGACGGAATTACGCTCACACGAAGTTAGCGACTTCGGCGATATTTATGAATCGGTGATTTCGCCCACTTTGAGCCCTATTTTCGGCTAATTCCATTGTTCCAGTCGACCAAACTCATTGCTATTTCTTTAGAACTCCATTTTTTCCTATCAATTGAGTACAAGAAACTGCCCATTTACCAATTTCAACTACCCAGTAATGTGGTCAGAAATTTGCAATTTGGCCAATTTCATTAATATATTTATTGTTTAACCCTTTGGGGGTCAACAGGTCCTCTCAGATTTCAAAAAAAAAATTATTTTTTTTCTTATGAAAAGATAGAGAATCTTTTCCCGATCATAATGACACCAAAAGTATGAAATTTGATGGAAAGCTTACGGAATTATGCTTTCGCGAAGTTAGCAGTCTTGATGATGTTTACGCATTCGCGATTTTGCCCACTTTGAGCCATATTTTCGGCCAATTCCAGTGTACTAGTCAACAAAAATCATAACTATCTCGCTAAAACTCCATTTTTTCTATCGAATGAGTACAAGAAACCACCCATTTACCGATTTCAACTATCCAATAAAGTGGTCAGAATTTAGCAATTTTGCCAATTTCACACAAATTTCGAAAGATGCCAATTTCCGAATAGGGTCCAGAATAAACAAGAAAGACATTCCTGGCACTAAAATAACATTTACTCTGTTCATTAGTCACATCCCCAGGCCCCTCTTACATTTCTTTTGCTTTCCACTTTGAATTTTTATTCTCACAAAAAAATAAGATTTACTGTTATGCAGACTACTGCATTAGTGTAGAAATGGTATAAATAATATTGGCACACTTGTGAAAGAATATTAGACTCACCAGTTGACGTGTATTGGACGCTTGGCATGATTTGTTTACTTTTGAACTTTGGTAAATATCGAACATTTCTGCTACTTTGAGCTCAATTTCAAGGTACTTTTCATTGTAAAACCAGTCAAAATCATCCCAATTTCTGTAACATGTCTTCCATTCTATAAAATGAGACCAAGAAAACTAGAATACAACAATAAATACCATACGAAAATACAGTGAAAAGTCGCTGTTTTAATCGAAAAACACGGTCAAAGTTTTTTTCTCATTACGCACTGTGTGCTGCAGGATTTTTTTTATACTGCGCACACTGACCACATAGACCCATTCTTACATATGTAGGCCTACCAGCTTTCTCTCACTAGATTTGAGGGCGCTAGAATTTAGGCATACTTGTACGTCAAAAACCCTGGGTCATAAGACGTACTAGTACGTCCGAAACCCCCAAAGGGTTAATATATTTATAGATGGGGTTGTAAGAGAAGTAAATACTCGTGTGTTGGCAAGAGGCGTGGAGTTAAAAGATAAAGAATCAAACATAAAGTGGGAGTTATCACAGTTGGTTTTTGCTGATGACACTGTGCTCTTGGGAGATTCTGAAGAGAAGTTGCAGAGATTGGTGGATGAATTTGGTTGGGTATGCAAAAGAAGAAAATTAAAAGTGAATACAGGAAAGAGTAAGGTTATGAGGATAACAAAAAGATTAGGTGATGAAAGATTGGATATCAGATTGGAGGGAGAGAGTATGGAGGAGGTGAATGTATTCAGATACTTGGGAGTGGACGTGTCAGCAGATGGGTCTATGAAAGATGAGGTGAATCATAGAATTGATGAGGGGAAAAGGGTGAGCGGTGCACTTAGGAGTCTGTGGAGACAAAGAACTTTGTCCTTGGAGGCAAAGAGGGGAATGTATGAGAATATAGTTTTACCAACGCTCTTATATGGGTGTGAAGCATAGGTGATGAATGTTGCAGCGAGGAGAAGGCTGGAGGCAGTGGAGATATCATGTCTGAGAGCAATGTGTGGTGTGAATATAATGCAGAGAATTCGTAGTTTGGAAGTTAGGAGGAGGTGCGGGATTACCAAAACTGTTGTCCAGAGGGCTGAGGAAGGGTTGTTGAGGTGGTTCGGACATGTAGAGAGAATGGAGCGAAACAGAGGGACTTCAAGAGTGTATCAGTCTGTAGTGGAAGGAAGGCGGGGTAG